AATTCTGAAATCTTGTATTAATTTTGTCACATTTCAAATAAAATAACTGAAGCCAAAAATAGTAGAAATTCCAATTCATAATTACTTCATGTTAGATGCACAACTTACATGAGTGTTTGGAGCAAACTTACTGTGTTGAATATGTATGTTATAACTCTTTAAAGTCCTTGGGCTCTTCTGATGTGGTCATTACTGAACAAAATTGTTTACTCCTATTCTAATGTTTTTAAATGACTTGTCAAATGAATGACTTCCTTCTTGTTAAATAAGTTAGATCTTACTTTCTTTTAATGAAAGTCCTCAAGTAGAAACAAACAGTGTGTCCTAGAAATCATCCTCAGCTTTCTGTCTGAAAAAAATCTCTAAGTGGCCCCCTCTCCCCCCCTAATAATGGGGTGGAGAAGTTTCCACCCGACTTCAGGCTGTTGTTAGTTTCTGTTGGTCATTTTCTCACTAGCACATAAAGGCAAGATGGTCATGAGTCCAGAAATACATTTAAAGTGTTTGCTTATAAACTTCTTCAATCAGAATAGAAAAGTAATTAAAGTACTGTCTCTATTTTTCTACCTTTGACCAAAAAGTAGAGAAAACCAAACAAATTCATACTCAAAGGGAAAACTGGTTACTTAAATCTAGCAATTTACCAGTATTTGTCCTTGATATGGGAATGTTGTTAATTCCTATTCATAAAGTTTATAACACAAAATGGTGTGTAACAATAACAGCCTTTACTTGGGGGTAAATCATTATTATTTGCTCTGAGAACATAAATGACAGACGGGTGAGTAGCACGGAATCTGTCATTGCCAAGTTATTTGTGAATGTATCGTTCAGGTTGCTGTTCTTTGAAACACAATATTACTAATTTTCCTAATTGTGCTTCAATATTAGAAGTAGTACGTGTGTGCACACGTGTGTGACCACAAAGCTCCTTTACAGAATTTAATTCTGAAGCTTCTTCAGAAAATCTAAGTCTGAAGATGGGAGAAAGGAAAGTGGGCCTGGAGTAACAGATGATTCTTTTTTATATGCTTCTTACTGTGATCATTGAAACCAAACCCAAGTGCGCTCTAGGTGTTGGTAAACGTTTTATGCTTGCATTTAAACTTGAAATGTATGAACAGAGGAGACAATCAGTTGAAACCAGAAATGAGAAGTGTTACAAACTTAATGGCCTTGTTTTGCTATAGCAATAAAATGACCAAGTGCAATGACTTGACTTAATAAAATCATCTTTTAGAAGTTGCTGCTATATTTTTAGCCATGAAATTTTACCCTTGTTTTTGCCTAACTTGCCTTTAGTAACTATTGCCTACAAAACTGTTATGTAATGCAGTTTGGTGGTGTAGTATGCTAACATTCCGTGGTGGGTGGGAAAAATATATATAAAAACTCAGAAACTCAACACTCACTGACTTGTTTACAGGTGCTGTAAAAAAAAAAAAAAAAAGCATGCTTCTCCTTTAAAAAGAAAAATTAATAATAAAAAATACTATTACCAGTTGTGTAGTCTCTTCGTTATTTTTTAAATTAACTTTAGTATATGCTTAGTGCAGAGTACAGTGAAAATTGTTTTATATTTCTTTCAGTTTTGTAAATAAAAGAAACTATAAATAGTAAAATGAAAGCATTAAAAGTTCTAGATCCGTGTGATGTTTACTAAACATTTGTGAGTCCGTTTTCTATGTCACAGGAATATTGGGGGAATTTGAATGATATATATAAAGTACCTTCTAGAGTGCTTGGCATGGAGGTGTTTTTTAATGGGAGCCTCCCAAACTCTTCTCAAAAGCATTTTAGAGAGGTGGATGTGGAGGCCTAGTTCAGTGGGGCCTTGACTTACGAGTGTCCCGACTAATGAGTTTTTCAAGATATGAGCCGTCTCGGTCGATTTTTTGCTTTGAATTGCGAGCTAAAATTCGGGTTAAGAGCCAACTTCAGATACCCCACTGCTAGTTGGCGCAGCGAACGTCACAGTGAACGCCACAACATCACGTGTCTCACTTTTTGATTTGACATGTGAGTAATTTGAGTTACGAGCTCTGTCACGGAACGAATTAAACTCGTAAGTCAAGGCCCCACTGTACTGCCTTTCTTTGGGGGAGATACCCCTTTCATTTGTATTATGTTCACAACAGAGCTGCTTCCATCTCACAGATTCCGCCTCTTTGGTCACCGGTGATGGCAGAAGGGAGAGTACTATGCCCAAATGGTGTTATTGACTTAGAGACCTTGAGATTTAAAATATTTGAAACATAAAGAGCTAGAGACTAAGCATGAGAGCTCTCTGCAGTTATATTCTTCTGCCACCTGGAAAAAGCTGATTTGAAAGAACTTAATTAAAGGATAAGGAGATGCAAACAGTCCACAAGGATTTTTAAACTGATGAATCATTCCTGAGTCCCAGCTACCCATGCATTGCTAGGTTCCGTAAGCATAAACATGCTCATAAACGTGGGTTTCTGAACTTATAACTGACAGAGGGAGACATCAAGGACTATGCACTCTTGTTGAAAATACACCACGTACATGGCTTCAGGCTTTCTAGAAATCCACTCAGACCTGAATCACAGAAAAGGGGTAAGACGCCACTGAAGCTCTCGGGCCTGGTGCAACACAGTTCAGCTCAGTTTGGGGGGAAAATCAAGATCACTGGAATGGCTGGCAGCTGCGGTAGAAGCGGGGCTGGGGAGAGGGAGGGGGGCGGTGCTGTGCCTGCTCGGGTACCTGCTGAGCGTAGTCCAGAGCCGATCCTGAGCGCCTCTGCGTTCCGCTTGCCTTCTCTGTGCCACATCCTGGCGCTGGCGGGGAGCAGGGCGGGTGCAGCCGGTGGCGGTGCTATGCCTGCTCTGGCACCCGTTGCCAGACCTCTGCCAATGACCAGGCAGGATGGCAGGAGTACAGGGAAGGGGGGACGCAGGTGCAGGTGTGGAAGCACTGACCGGGACGGCTCTGGGCTGCGGTGCTGTGCCTGCTCTGGTACGTGCTCAGCTGGCCAGCGACATTGCCCCCGCCCCGCACCAGACACCCCGCGCCAATTTCCTAAGTGGCTGCCTGCAGCTTCTGGAACTTATTCTTTAGCGCGATCTGTCTTCTTCTCAGAAGTTTAATTTCTATGTCTTTGTAAGCAGCGGTAGCCTGAGGGTTGGTGTCATCACCAGTGAAGGCCATGCAGGGTGATGGTACAAACCAGCTCCAGAATTTCCTGACTAAGGGCTGAGTGCAGCTTCTGCACCTTAGCTCTGTCTGTCTTCCTCTCAGAAGTTTGACCTCCAAGTCTTTCTGTTGCAGTTGATGTCAGCAAGGAGCAGTTTGCTGCTGCATTTGAAGCTCTGACGCTTCATGTTTCTGTTCTAGGTCACCACGGAGAGTTTCGGGTCTCATTGTCTGCTCTTAACATTGCCCGCGTGGCTCCCACCTCCTTCCTCTCAGCGTCGGGCCTCTTCCTCTTTTTCTGATCCTCCAGCAGCCCCTCTTCTGAGAAGGTAGAGCTGTGTGGGTGAAGGAAGCCACACAGCCGCCCACTTGCCCCAGGGAATGGCCATCACCGGGGGTCATAGAACTGACCTGGTCGCTCTGCCCAAAGCGTCCAGCGCCACCAGACAACCCGGCCAACTGTCCAGGAATCACTATGTGGGCGGAGCTAAGGATCAGATCCCAATGAGCTGTTGCTAGGCAACGCCTGAGTGGGGGCTTCCAGGTGGAGGCACCTGGGGAGGGGCCCTTCTCCAGTGACACCTTCCCGTGGGCCTCTTCTGTTAACTCTGTTTCAGAAAATACCCGTTGCCTTCGGCTTTCTTGTCACACAGCCGGCATTTATTATTTGTTTATTTATTTGTACATTTGAGATAGAATTCGCACAGTGATGCGCATCCATGTACAGGTGGGCGCGTTTGCGCCAGTGCCCACACCATCGCCATCGATAACGCCCAAGGCTCCAGAGCTGTCGTCAGTGAGAGTCGTCTCAGTCCCTGTAATGGGCTTGCGAGGCTCGTTCTGATCGCTGATCTAGGAATTGATAAACTGGTAAACATTTGCTATGTTTGCAGGTGGCATCAGATTAAAAGATACAGTGGTTAGAATTGGAAAGCTTAGCAAGGAGTAAGCCTTGGGGCAGTCAGAAACTAAGGGATACTTTTGGTTTGGTTTGGTTTGAAGAAGGAAGCTATTTGAACATATTTGAATGTTAATGGAATGATGGGTTGTAGAGGGAGAAAGTGATGAGGCAAGGAATAGGAAGTCTTCAGGAATGCTGTCCTTGAGGAAGTGTGAGGAGAAGGGGACAGCTCCTGGGAAGGGACGACTTTTGACAGGAAGACAGACAGTTCCTCTACGATGACAGGAGTGAAGGTGAGAGTGGATAGAGTTTACATCGGATGGTTTTTATTTTCTCTGCAAAATGTCAAGTGACATTGATAATGTG